TCACAACTTCTTACTTGTTTACATTCCACTCGTCAAAATGTGTGCCCTTTTGTGGCAAACCGAGTGTGGCCTCGACTCGGGCCTCGACTCCGGATCCCCTCATTGTTTCGTAGATCCGTTCCTTATCTTCCGGGTTGACCGATTACACTTGGTTCCACTAGCAGTGTGCATTCCACTCCAGGCGTTATTTCTCAAGGCCCTGCCGCTTCACTGAGCAGAGCACCTAAGTTTTGATTGCCATGCTTGCAGATATTAGGTCTTACCTTCACGGGTCGTTTCCTTGATTAAACCCATGTTATCGGAGCAAACTGTGAACGCCAATCTCTGTTCGCATACGGTATCTTAAGTGGATTTCGAGTACATTTTGGCCATAACGCCGATTTTCCGTGACAGTTTGCTTATCCGTCTGCCCCCATAGATGGACCAAACAGAAAGAGGAATTATAGTCTAACCTTTTTCGGCAGAACGTTTGTCGAAGGATGGACTTCACTTTTCTCTCTGACGAGTTCGTAGTTTGGTGCGGTGAATGGCAAAATTCACTGATAATGCCGACTACGATGCTGGCGAAACGTTTGAGAATGTACCAAGCCCACTGCCTGATGCTGGGAATCATGAAAACTACTATGGCAGACGACTTCGGACTAGGTGCCTTCTACTAAGTCGCCCTGACAACAAGATCAAGTTGCGACGACGAAGTGAACCCACTTCTGTAATTTAGTCTAGTTTACTAGCAAGTAAAGGCCTACTTTATTGGCAATCACACTGGTTAGATCCTACTGTAGCTCAGTTCAGCCTGGACGAGGATATCTCTTTGAGACAAGGACGGGTGAAATTTCATGGAATGGTAAGGCCTACTCATATCAATGTAGTAAATTTAACCCTCAATCCTCCATCATATTGTGTCATTCATGATGTATTCAATCCTTACTTTGGATCAACCGCCTCTACATGAATTAACCTAATTGACAGTTGTTGGACGTTGTTTTCGTAACTTGGTCCTATTGGCAGGAAGACCTATAGGAAAGCACATTGGCCGGAGTCCATAGTTTGCTTGATAATTTCCAGAGTCGGAGTGTGGACTTGGCTCATTCTTAGACGTTTCGATGGCATTGCCGACTCTTGTAATTATCGTGCATACCATAGACTACGGACAAGATGTGTTCCTTTGCGTTTTCCTGTCAATACAAGTTTACGAAAACAAGGTCAAACAACTTCTATACAACGAATGGAGGCCGCAACCATACTAAAGGCAAAAACATCTTGGTCTTCACACCTTCCATTGGCCTAATTAAGTTGCCCTAAGTTATTATTTCAGATTATTTGACAATTTCGTAGGCATGATGACTTTTCTTTTACATATTTTCGTTTTTAAGTAGGTTTCAATTAAATCAGTTGACCATAGATATGAGATTTACCCTATTTCCTTAGGCTATCGGTACTTCATCACCTTAAACGAAATGGCGTAAATAAATCTCGTATATACTATGAGATATATTCACCCAGGACTGGTAGAAAAAGAATTTTCCCACAATGATATGAGTTGAGCTGACGTTTCCATTGAATTTCACATATACTTGTTTTCCCAAAGTTGTTCTCATTAATGCCCCAGTGGACTGCAGTTTCGACCTCGCATTGGTCTTATCGACAACCCCAGCGGAAGTCGAACCGTGACAGTGCAGGATGGGAGCTTGACACGCTAACAACTCGTCTACACTGCCACGAGCGCCTTTTGGGTCACAGGAAAAATGTGAATTTTCAAGGAAAGCCAGGCCTTTTTGCCATATCATATTCTTTTTGGTGGAATTGTCGATGAAGAAAACGTATATCTGCTATAAAAATTGACTACTATACCTTATTTTTCGAATTCAGTATTGTTTTCGTGACTAGCAGTAAATCAGTAATATGTGATGTATTGACATCACAACTTTAATTTCTCTAGTCTGAATAGAAATCCGACGTTTGCACAGCACTATCCAACTCTTCCATTACACCATGGGCTATTTAAGTTAGCAAACAAGCACCTACAAATGGTATATAATGTGGTCATTCAACGGACGAATAAGAGTTATGACGATCCGACAGAAAGATTGGCCTCCTAGAAGTCCTAGATGGTGCTATTCGGCCTCGAGACATGCGGGCCATCATTTCCGCTGAATAGAGTCGAGTAGAATTCACTTTCGAACGCCGTCCGATCAATATGGGCCGTTCGGACGACAGGCTTTCCGATCGGAAGCTGGTCGACTGGCTCGTCGAGGAAAGATGCCTGGCTCGGATTTGGCCAACTCGCGTCTACCGCTGGAAGGTATTTGAAGGATAAAGGAGACCTCCATGAACCTGTACAACGGCCCCATGAGCTCGGAAATTGAAGGCCTAGTCGTGAGTCTTTTCTTGCCCTCACCAGTTCTCGTGACAGATACTTGAATGTCCTCACAACTACCTAATTAGGCCTCTCGATGCTGGCGAATTTCATTTAGCCCTGCTTCTTAAAAGCGCTTTCCATCCCGACTGGATTGGACTGGACTGGACTGCAGTTTCTACCTCGCCTGAACTGGTCTCATTAACACACCCAACGGGGGGTAGAGCAGCTTGTGATCTCGACACCTTAACCATGTCGAATATGCAGTCCTCTCTCTTTGTGGAGGCAAGGCTATGTGAAAATGAATGAAAAAAATATACCTACTTATATGATTGTCTCTCATCACCTTAAACAAAATAAGGTGGATACAGTCCTTAAATTATGTTAAATGATAAAATGAAAACCTGTATTTTGCCATTAACCCAACTATATTACTTATATTGATAGCAAGTAGCTTTTCAATATATCCTCAAACCTAGAATAAAAATTAGTCTCCCCAGGCCGCTTCAAGTGATGAAGGACGGGTAATTGAATTATCACGCAATCCTATGAGTAGGTCTCATGGCGTCTTTCAATTTCAATTAGCCTTGACTCTTAAAAGGTATTCTCATTCCGGCCGGAGTGAGCTGCACTTTCCCCCTCGCCTGGGTCTCATCTGCACCACCAATAGATTTTAATGCCACGTGGGCAGACTTAATGAGCCTACGAGAAGCCACAAGTCGAAACTGGTCTGTCCCACTATCTCCCATTCGACACACACTTTTAATCTGAGACTTAGAGCCCAGAACCTTTGTCTGAGCCATTCCTACCGGGGCAGTAATAGTCCAGTTTGGACCAGAGTTTAAATAAATTTGACCGATTGGTGCTAAAGTATCTTACATTTGGTTTAAAGAGATGAGTGGTAAAGGATTCGTAAGTTGGCCTTGAGTTGTGATT